CCCTGGGGCAACGCCGTGGCTTCCCCGGGACCGAAAACACGACTAGATCACGTATCGCACGAGAACTGAAGAGCTCGCCGAAGTCCATTCATGCCATGGCTGCTCTCCCCCCTTCGCCCCTCATGGTCAAGTGCGCGGATTTTACCAAACACCGCACACATCGGCCAGAGCGACAAGACGCGGTTAGCGCCTCACTCCTTACCTCCCCCTCATGCTCACTTCCCCACTCCTCCCCGTACTGTCCCCACCCCTCTCCTACCTCTCCCGATCCCACCTTACCTCCCCCCATGTCTATCCACCTCCCAGCCCCTCCTTGACGCTCTCCCACCCCTTCGCTTCTCCCCATCCTCACCTCCGCTACCCAAACCCCCTTCGCAGGTAGATTGGCCAACACCTGACGATGGAGAGAGAAGAGGGTGGAAGGAAGGATGGAGAGAGAAGAGGGTAGAAGGAAGGATGGAGTAATCAGCGTGGAAGAGACACATGCAATACGTATGTGACCGCTATGAAATATGCAATAATTGTGCTGAAAATTATAATTACATTATATACTAGCGGATACCCGGCGTTGCCCGGGGAAATCAGTGGCGTTACGCAGTTGGTGACCGCTTGGTTGAAAGGAAAATACCCCAAAAAATCTATCTATCCATGCATCCATCCATCCATCACATTCCATGCCATCCCATCCCATCCCATCCCATCGCACCGCATCCCATCCCATCCTATCCCATGCCATGCCATGCCATCCCATCCCATCGCATGCCATCCCATCCCATCCAATCCCAACAGTAAAACATAATAAGAAATTAAAAGATAAGTCATTAAAATAAAAAAGTCAAAAATTGAAATGAAATTGAAATAATGTAACCTACATAGGCTTCCGTGAAGTGTTCCCGTCAGTTTGCGCTATCACTATCATCTACCATAGTTTATTCTGGATTTTTACTAAACGTTTAAATGTGGTAAAAAAAAATTGAAATTAACGGTGAATACGGTACATACTAAACAGTCCAAAAGTAAAGAAACAAAGCATTTCCCGAGGTGGGATTCGAACACAGAATCAATGGTTTAGGAGTCCGATGGTTTATCCATTCGGCTACTGGGCCGTTATGGTTCTACACCTTGGATTCACACGTACGTGATGTATAATGTTAATCTGTACGCCATCTATTGATGAATAGAATGTTTATAAATTTTTTACTTTTTTGAAATTTTGAAATTTAGTTTTCCTCTAGGCTGCGGAGTTCTCTAGTTATGCGCGAACACAAAAATTCGGCTGAACAACTTTATATATATAAATTATTATTATAATGATAATTTAACATAAAATAACAATAAGTATAATTTAATATAAAGATTTGTGCTCCTTGAGGGCTGTCTGCTAAGATGAGGGGGTGTTCTACAGAACATATAAGAATTTTTCACACTCAGAACGCATGAGAAAGCAGAATTTTAGTGCCAGCCTCCAAAAACTACCCAACTAACAGTTACTATTCGGCAACTTTCACATATCACTCAAATACACACTCCATAAGCCTGTCACTCCCCTGCACTACAATATGTATGTTTACTCCCACCTCCACCCCCAGCCCCACCCCCAGCCCCACCTCCACCCCCAGCCCCACCAGCTACCCAATCCAACATCAACCACTGGAGGATGAGCGACCGTGCCCGTCACCAGGGGGAGACACCGCACACCTCGCATCGAAGAAGAACCGAGAAGCGACGAAAACCGGAACCCTCGTTCCCGAGCGCGCGCCGGCACCGCGCGGAGACGTCACCAAAGAATGTCAGATGGCCGCGCCAGAAACCAATTATGAAAATCGATCGGACATCTCAGGTCCATATCTGGACGGCTGCCGAGTCGCCTAATCATTAAGATGAGGGTTAAGGTCTTTAGGCCATAATGATGGAATCGCGCTATGGCTTCCACGCACATACAGATACAGGTGCGTGATTACTGCAGCGTTACACTGACACACATAGATACGTAGACATTCTAATGACTGCCTGCTCTTACTGTGACACAGGCACGGAGAGGTACATGTTTACCCTAATTACTCGGCTGATTAAATTCACAAACATACCTGCCTACAGGTACAACAACATGATGACCGCTGATTGCTGTGAAGCACATCTAAGTTATCGTCTCCTAGAGTCTTCATCTGCCGTGATCCCTCCTCCACTCTGTGCTACTCTGCGCCTAGTCCCTTTGCTACTGCTCTTACCTGTGCTTTCCTTTGTCCTCATATACTCATCCCTTTCCTCTCTTCTAGATTCATTAATTTCCCTCCTCCCAATACGGGACCACCCCCCTTCTCTCATATATACGCCTCTTTCTCTCCATCCCCCTCTCTCTCACCTTTACTTTTTTCTATCCACACCCATTGTCTCACTTTCCCTTCCTTTCGTATCTCTCTCTCTCTCTCTCTCTCTATCTCTCGCTCTCTCTATCTCTCTCTCACTCTCACTCTCTCTCTCATTCTCTCTCTCTTATGATACCCGACGCCAGCAGCACGTCACAGGCGCAGCACTTACACCGACATCGCAGCAGCAGCGGCGTGTATGATTGATATATCATACGCACGTGATTACAGCGAATATGCAGACGAACACGAGAACAACAATGACGCGCGAGTGACGCACGCTCGCTTGTTTACGACGAAAAAGTGTCGCGAAAACAAGAGCGACGACGACAAAGCCGATCGCGCGAGTGACGATGCCGCCAGCTAGAGGTAATTGACGAATGTGAAGCATCTTGACCCTGACTGAGATGGAGGGATTAGACCACGTGAAATCTCCGGCTTCATTTCTCGCCGCCTAATATGACATACCGTATATACTCGCGTAATAAACGCAAATTTGGCCTCAGATTTCAACCCTGTATTTGCTCTGCGGTTTATAAGTGCGCCATACCGTGAGGGGAAATATACTAGGCGCAATACTTGGTTACCCGATTCAAATTGAGGTGCGGCTTATAGGCGCCCGCGGTTATTACGCGATCATATACGGTAATCGCGAACGTCGGTGAGTTAGATGACAACGTGCGGGTCAGGAGGTCAACATGTGCGCCCGACCAATCACGATTCTAGTCACGATTTGTACGAGGTCATGCAGTTAGCGTCGTTGCTGTTCTTTGGCGCACGCACCCCCTAAATTAACGGTTTGGCACAGTAAGCGGGGGTCGGCTGGGCAGACGGGCCGCCGCCGCCGTCGTTGTACATACTTGTTCCTGATTAGGTTCCCCTCTTCCGGTCTCCGCAACACGTCTCGCAGTGGTGGCAGCACCTGCAACGATGGCGACCGATATATGCACGACGCATTCACCTTTTGTTTACATATTTACACATTCATTGAATATTTATTTACATTGAATATCTAACATTCACATTTATTGACATGTTTACACGTTACCGAATATTTATTTACGCATTTAACCGTATTACTATCATTAACGCATTCTTCACATCGCTCACCTTTGACCTCAGGAACTTGCGTATGACGCGGTTGTTACGGCTACAGTCACACAGGCAGGTGAGGATCGGTGTGAGCATCTCCTTCAAGCTTTGTACCTTCTACATCAGAGAACACACAGCAAAGACATCTCATCAGCTACCCGCACACCTAAATCACATCAGCTGTAGCAGTAGTATTACACGCAGTAGACGCTCACTCTCTCATTCTCCCTGTTCTTTGCCTTCTCTCTCTCTCTCCCTACCACCTCCCCTTCTCCTCCTCCTCCTCCCTCTCCTTTTCCTCCTCGTCCTCCTTCTCCTCCCTCTCCTCTTCCTCCTCCTCCCTCCTTCTCCTCCCTCTCCTCTTCCTCCTCGTCCTCCTTCTCCTCCCTCTCCTCTTCCTCCTCCTCCCTCTCCTCTTCCTCCTTGTCTTCCTTCTCCTCCTCTTCATCCTCCCTCCTTCTTCCCTACTTCTCTCGGAGCATACCTTCTCATCCACCCTGTCCAGTCGCAGGTCGAGGAATTCTAGCAGTGCGACGATGGCTTCCATGTTCTGTCCTTCGTACTCAATCGCCTTGTTCTCCACCCCTCCTCCTCCTCCGCCGCCTCCTCCCCCGCCGGCAACAGCTCCCTCGTTGAGGGGCGTCAGTAGCTCCTCGCAGCACGTGGGTGGCATGTTGGTCAGCAGGTTGACCGTGTGACTGTGTAGCAGAAGACGAAGTAGCGCCGGGTTCATAGAGACGCGACGGGTAAACAGGGGATGTTAATACAGGTACGATCGCTCACACACGCCGCAGTAACAGCAGCAGCAGCAGCAGCAGTAGCGGC